TTATTTCTAGAATTATTATAGCATCTGTTGTTATTATATAATCTGTTTCTTTCTTGAAATTGAGAGTGATCATAATAGTGATTATTGTTTCTTCTATTATCTGACCTATAGTTGTTGTTAGAGCATGAACTTTGGTGCAACTAGGTCTAGAGTCAGAGTAGAAATCATGTTTAAAATTTTCTTTTCATTTGTAACAATCTTTAATGTAATATCCTTTACTTCCACAATAATAGTAAGTAGTATCCTGTTGATTATTGTTATCAAATCTGTTTCTGTTCGAGTTATTTGAATAGTAGATTGGTTTAGAGATAAGAGTAGTCTGTTTTTCAGTAAGGTTTATGCTTAGTTTAGCGATTTGTTTAGTAAGTTGTTCAATAGCTTTGTCTGTATTAGAGCTAGTATTAGAGACTATAAGTGTTCTAGTTTTCTATCGTCATACTGCAGTTATTGCTGCTGTTAGGTATTGTTTTGCTAGAGCTATGAGAAAAAGCATGTTTTATATTCAGAGTTGTGTTTGTAGATTCTGAGGCTTGGATATTTACTGAATATTCTGGTCGAAGTCCTTGTATAAAGAGTTGAGTTAGGAAACTAGCTGAGAATTTATTTTCTAGATCAACTTGCTCTTTTAATTATTTAAATTTGTTAATATAGATGTTAACTATATCTAAGCCTTGTTGAATAGTGAAGAGTTGTTTTTGCCATGTAGCTTTTTGTTGAATAATGCAGAATCTTGCTTTAAACAGATAGTAAAAACTATAGATATTATATCTATCAACTACTTGTTAATGCTATTAATATTTAAAATAAATAGGGATATTAACCAAGCTTTGGAGCTATTCCTAAGCATTGTCAGTTAGATAAGCAAATACAAGTTCAAGTTGTTGAGCAGCATTCTACCTGTTAGCTTTAGCTACTTGCTCAAAATTATCTAACTAAATTATAGAGTCTTGAGTTCTATTATCTCAAAAAGATTCAATCTTAAACAAGGTCTTTTCATTGCTAGCACCTAGAGCTCGAGCTAATATAGTCATAGCAGTAGCAGTATCTTGTAAAGCTTGTTTAGCTATATCTTTTTCTGATTCATTTGTTTGAATAGTTTCGTAGTCTGAGTCTTCTTGTTGGTTTTCTACTTCCTGGTTATTGTTTTCAACTTCAAAGAAATTATCAAAATTATAGTCCTCTTGATTTTTCTGATTATTTAGAAGATTGTGATCAATTCCAAAATTGTCTAATATTTAGATTATATTATCAAAGAGTTGATTAAGTTGGTTTGGGAGTTAGATAGGTTAGTAAAGAGATAGAGAGTCTAGTAGAATATAATGTGAAAAAAAAATGTTATTGAGGTCTAGGTTAGCCTGAGAATAATTTCTAAGAATTGAGAAGCTTCTATTTGGTGAAGTAGTAGAAGTAGAGGTAAACTGAGAAATAAGATTAGTGATTGCAGTTTGTGAGTTGATATTAAGATTGAAGTATCATTAGTTAGGAGTATTAGTAAGAGGAGTAGAGAGAAATTGAAGAGAGGAGTATAGATAGATGGTCCAAGAGGGATATCAGTTAGGGGTAGAGTTAGAGTTTGTTGTTTATCTCATAGGGGAAATTGGATTTGAGTAGTGTCTTCGTTATAAGGAGTTAAAGTAAATAAAGAAGTTGTAGCTTAGTCTGGATCTATTGAGTGTTAACTAACTATAGAACTATATTTGAAATAGTCAAGACTACTAGTCTATTCATTAGGAATAGGTGAACCAAGATTTCCTAAAACTTCTTCTGGGGTTCTATTTAAATAAGGGTTAAGAGTAGAAGCATTAGCTTGAAATTCAATATAAGGATCAAAAGCTATAGCTTCAAAGCCAAAAGGAAGATAAGGTTGTAAGATGTATCGAGTATATCTAACTAGAAGAGTTTCAATAATATTTTTAGAGTTTTCTATAGGAATATTATATCAGCAACTAAATATTATATCACATGCTACTACTCTAGCTCTAGAATAGGTAGAGCTACTAGTTAATTCTAGATATGCTGTTATAGTTTGTTGAGAATAAGATTTGGTGTAGTATTTATATCTGTATCAATTCCAAAAATTACAGTACGATCGATAGTGATTAGTTTCTAGATAGCACAGTTGACAGGATAAATTTGAGTCTAGAGTTTGAAGTACTATATATACTTGACTTGTATTCTGATAGCATAAATCGTGTGCTTGTATTCTTTCTATATATATCTGATATACTCTATTCATATATGTTGGGTAATAAGATACCTTACTCCTACACTTTGAGTTGTGAGGTATCTGAGACTACAGATTAGAGTTTGGGATTACTTATGCCTACTTGTTTGGCTCATAGGTAATCTGTATTTAACTTTTCTATATTAAGGTTTGCAATAAGCTACTAGCTGTTAGAGTCTTTATGTCTACGCTTTGGCTCATGAGGTACTTGTCCTTCAAGTATTTCTATTTCTGGGAGTTGCAGTAAGCTACTAGCTTTGATTAGAGTCCTTATGTCTATGCTTTGGCTCATAGAGTATTCATCCTTTAGGTATTTCTATTCTTAGAGATTGCAGTAAGCTACTAGCTTTAATTAGAATCCTTATATCTACAAGTTTGGCTTATGGAGTACTTGTCCTTTAGGTATTCCTAATCTAAGAGTCATAGTAAGCTGCTAGCTTTAATTTCTAATCAAATAGATATAGTTTAGACCTAAATTCAACTTTGAAAATTCTGTGTAATATTAAATAGATCTTCCTTAGTTTAGAGCAATATAGGATGATATTTTTCTTTTTGTGTTATAGTGTAATATAGATCTATTCAAGAAGTTGTAGATCTCTTTTTTGGTGTTCATATAATATAGACTAGGTGTGACATAGATCAGAATCAGCAAAGGAGGAAAGAGAGGCTTCTTGGTTTCTAGGAAAGATTTCTTTTAGAGATTATCAGAGGAGAAAAAGAGAGGTTTCTTTAACTTTAAGAAAAGTTTCTTTAAGGCTTATTTAAAGTTTCTTTAATTAATTATCCTTCTGAGAATATTTCTTTGTATTTCTACCAGAAGGCACCAAAATGTTACAAGTATTAGCCTTCTTAATTCAACACAAGTAACATAAGATACAGAAAAGGAGTTCTTAACAGTATCCAAGTGGAATATTACTTCACTGTAGCAGTTCATTACAAAGTTAATGAAAGAGCAAAGATTATATTTTATTTAAGAATACAATATCAATAATACAAGACTATCTATTAGTTTCTGTGCTAAGAGAATTCTAATATTAAGGAGATTGCAGGGGTCAAACCTAAGTTGAGACAAAGAAAAAAGTGAGGGTTTATATAGCTTTTTACAATTAAGAATAAGAACAATAGAAATAGTAAGAATGGTAAGAATAGTAAGAATAGTAAGAACAGTAAGAACAGTAAGAACAGTAAGAATGGTAAGAATGGTAAGAATGGTAAGAACAGTAAAAACAGTAAGAATAGTACCTGTTTCTTAGTTATTTCTAAGACAACTCTAAAACTATGAATTCTATGGTTATAAATTATAGCTCGTTTGAAAGGTCTCTTTGAGCTGAATCTAATAGTAAAGTCTAAATCTATCAGTGACTACTAAATTATTTGCAAAAGTGATATAATAAATAAAGTACATTCAAGAAACTAACTTTTTATAAAAATATTAATAATAAAATAATAAAATAATAAAATAAAAGATCTATACACACTCTCTTCTGACCATATAAAGTTAGACTCGAGAGTAAAAACTTTTTACAAAATATCTAATACTAAAGAAACTAAAACTATTTTTTTTAACAAAACTCGAGCTTTAGCTCTAGTTCCAAAGAAATGTAGACTTTGGTGACTAGAAAATATAAGAAACAAAAAAATTATACTTCACAAAAGCTCGCAAGCAAGTAATAGTAACAAAAAAAATCTACACTCTACTACAAGTATTAGCAAAAAAGATTTGAGTATTAACTACTCTAAACAAAAAAAAACTACTAACTAACCTCTCTAACTGGGATGAACAACTAAGTCAAAAACTTGAAAAAAAAGAAAAAACTAACATGTCTCAAGAAAAGAGAAAAACAAAAACAACGAAAGCAAAACAACAGACAAAGGAACATGTGATATTATACAAAATAATGCTAACATGACCAAAACAATAGACACATATGTCAAATCAACAAACGAATCTCTTTTAGAAATACTTAAAAGCACCTCGAGTTTGCAAGGGACTACTAAAAAATTCTGGTCTAGCCTGTTTGCTAAGGTTAAAAGAAGCCAATCTACTTTTACCTCTTATTCTCCGAGGAGTATTATTAGATCTAAAAATGATAATACCTTAGTACTGGATATTAACAGTCTAAAAAACTGCTCTTTAAATAATATTATGATATCTCTTTATGATAATATGGGGAGTGATATAGTAGTAGCAAAACTACATATCAATAGAAGAGCTCATACTTACTTAGAAATTATCTTTGCAAACAAAGAAAAATTACAAGAGTATATAGTTAAAGAAGTAGATATCTTTAACAAAACATATCTTGGTTCTATTCCTACAGATAATAGAAGGTCTTTCCTTTCAGTCAAAATTAGAAATGTTTCTCTACAAGAAAAAAACTTAGTCTCTGAAGCTATCAAAGAGGCCTTCGAAGATATAAAAAAAATTGCTTCGATCAAACTACTCTTAATAGAAGGAACTCCTTATTTAACTGACCAATGGGTTATTATTTTCGATACTACAAGTGATCCAGATCTAGAAAAAAAAATTCTTTATTTTTATATTCTGTTAGAAAACAAAATCATTACAGAATAGAAATCAGCTCCAAAGGTTTGCTTTTTTTGCGACAAGGAAGGTTATGTCAAAAGAGATTGTGAACAACATCAAGAAGCTTTAGCACTCTGTCATCATTTTAAGGAATACCAAAGAAATAAAAACAAAAAAAAAACCTCAGAACTTATCTCTAACCTATTGGTTGAAGAAACTACATTAGTTTTTTTATCCTTAACTCAAAGAATGAGTATAGATAAACATCCTAAAAACTCTACTACAGAAAAGCAACAAGATACTTCTAAGACTAATAAAAATAATAACACTTATAGTAGTGAATTAAAAAGAACAGAGGATATGATTCTAAATACTGAAAATTCGAATATGAGAAAAAATTCAAAAACTCAAAATGTAGACTTAACAAGCAATTCTACTTCTAACAAAAAAACAGCACAAGAAGCAACTTCTCCTATAGTTATTATTGATAACAATAACTATGAACTGCAAAAACTTGACTATTCAGAAGGAGAATACATAACTGCTACAAATAAAAGAAAAAAAGATAAAAAGAAAGTATCTGCACAAAAACAAGAAGAAACCTAACTGCTCCTTACAAGAAAAAAACTTGTAATAAGAGCCAAAGTATACAGATCTAAAATTTTACCTCAAATCAACTCTTATGCTTAAAAACTCAAAGATAAAAATTGAAACTCTAAATATTAAAGGACTGAACAATCAACAGAAACAAAGAAATACTTTTACTCTTCTTAAGTTTTATAATCTAGATATTATAATGCTTCAAGAGACAAATCTCAATAACAAAGATACACAAACTTTTTTACAACAACAATGGACTTTTGACTTAATATAGTCAAACAAGACAGCTATATTAGCAGGCAATAAGAATATAACTTTTTAAAGCTCCAAAGTAGAAGCAAACAGCAGAGTTATGATTACAAACTTCAGCTACAAAGATTTATCTTTTTAGCTTACAAATATCTATGCAGCTTCTAGTTAAAATAAACAATCTATTTTTTTCAACAACTAGTCTCTGCAAGTAAAAGATAATATGATAAATATCATCACAGAAGACTTTAATACTAATTTATATTCTGAACATGATAGAATTAATAAGTCATTAGCATAGCATGATCCAACTAGAGCTCAACTTAAAGACCTTACAAAAAACTTCATTAATTCTTCAGAGCTTGCAACTAACAAGCTATTCTATACTTTCTTTCAAAAAACAAGAGGAAACAGAATGATGGCAACTCACTTAGACTATATTTTTCTAGATGAAAACTATGCTTATACTATTCATAAGACTAATACTAAATTTGGTAACTCTGACCACCTTCTAGTAGAATACATATTAAAGTTTACATCAAATACAAACAAGTCTCCTTTGTAGAAATTTGATAAAAACTGCTTTCATAACAAGAGACTAAAAAAAGAAATAATAGAAGAAATACAAGAAAATGAGAATACAGACAACTGGAATTTATGCAAAATATATATCCAATTAATCATTAAAGTTTTCAAAAAGCTAAAATCTCTAGAAAGCAAAATATTAACACTTAACAAACAAATTACTCAGATAAACAAAAAACTCATTGAAAACTCTGCAAATATACATCTGTTTGCTTAAGCAGACAATCTTAATACCAAATTGCAGGAAGAACTTACTCTTCTAGCAGAAAAATAGCAACTCCACTCCAAAACAAAATAGATAGAGCAAGGAGAAAAATTAACTAAATATTTCTTTTCGAAATATAAATCTAGAAAATCTTATTCAGCTCTTAATGAAATCAAAAATCCTGTGAATACAACTCAGAACAAGGATAGTACTCTTTCTTATATTAGAGAAGAATACTCAAAAATCTATAAAAAAAAAGAGATTAATTTAGCTACTGCAAATGAAATTATCAAAGAAGCTTCACAAATTACAAGATCACTGAACTCTTTGCTAATACAAGAAATCTCTCTTGAAGAAGTAAGAAATATGATTAGAAACCTCCTGAACAACAAGTTTCCTGGCTCAGATAGTCTTACTTACGTGTTCTATAAGCTTACAGAAGAAGTAATCACTCCTCTATTATACAATCTTTTTAATTAAGTATTTCTCTTAGGTCTTTTACCCAAATCATAGTATAAAAATCTAATTACGCTTATTCCAAAAAAATCTTTAGATTTGGAAAATCTAAACAATTAAAGACCAATTTCTTTAGTAAACAGCGATACTAAAATTTTTATGAAAATTTTAGCAAACAGACTAAATGCAATATGCTAAGAAGTAATCTCTCCACAGCAACAAGGTTTTATAAAAAATAGATTAATATCAGATACTGCAATAGATATTATAACAACTCTAAAAAGTCAATAAGACAATACCAAACAATATTAGATGCTCTTCTTGAATCAACAAAAAGTATTCGATCGCATAAGTTATAAGTTTCTAGAACTAGTATTAGAGAAAATGAACTTTGATAAATATTTATCTCAATAGTTAAAAACCTTTTTACAAATCAAGAAGCCTATATTCTTGAAATAGATAAACTATCAAAGGCTTTTAAAATAGAAAGAGGAGTAAAACAAAGAGATCCACTCTCACCTCTCTTATACATACTTACTTTCAAACCTTTGCTACTTAACTTAAAAAATAATCTACAGAGTATTAAACTAGGTCATCAGTCTTTCAAACTTATAGCCTATGCAAATAATCTTATAATAGAAATTAGCTCTCTTTTAGACTGAGAATATACTTTTAAACTTCTAGAAACTTATGAACAGGCTTCTAATACAAAAATCAACAAAATCAAAACAAAACTTGCTCCTCTTCTATCAATAGCATTCAGAGTAGAATTACCACAGTCAGACTAACTACATATAGTTAAAGAGAATAAACTTATTACAACACTGGGTTATAGTATTTACTCAAATAGTTTTCCAAAAAAGGATCTTTAGTTATCTACTATAAGTAATTTTAAGGTCTCACTCGATAAACTTGTGAATAGAAATTTATCTTTTAAATGAAAAATTCTGCTTGCCAAATCTCTTATACTCTCAAAAATCTGGTATACAGTATACCTTCTCCTACTAAGCAGGAAGCAAGTAGCAGAAATAAATAGACTAATTTTTTTATAGATTAAAAGTAATTCTCATATACTTCTAAGATACTTAGTCTTTCAACAATCATATGAGCAACTTGGTCTACAGGCTCCTATAATTAAAGATATGCTAGATATATAGCTAATAACAGTCTGGCTTAAACTACTCTTATCTGAGCACTTTTGGGCTAAATACGAAAGAAACAAAATTAGTTCAATTCTCAGAGATAAGAAAGATATTTTACTCTTACAAGCACTAACAACTAACAATATTCGGTCTAAAGCTTGGTCTACAGAATGAAAACCTTTTCTTCTAGCCTAGAAAAAAGCAGAAGAAAAAATCTTAGCTAGTACAAACTAGCCTTAGAACAAAGAAAAAATTAGGCTAAGTGATTTTAAAGAATATGAAATCACAGTAAACAAAGTTCTGTAAATATTTCAAAAAATAGAACTTACATCCTCTCGAGAATACACAATACCAGACCTACTAGCATCAAATTGGCTATCTACAAAAATAATCATAAACAAGAAAAAATATATATATTAGCATCGCTACTATAGGTCCCTTCCTCTTAGTTATAGACTCAAACATATAAAATCACTAGAAGCAGAATTCTGCCCTTAGTATATTGAGAAACCCCAAATACCAGAATACTTTGCTATAGACTGCAGCTTAAGTAAAAAAATTTGGGAAGCAGTATATAAATTTCTTAATACTAATGAATTAATCAACTACTCTTTAACTCTTAAAGAAATATTCTCTAGATCAAGTATACAAAACTCTTCTTAAAAACAAGTGCTGAACTGGCTTCATATCACAACAATTTATAAACTTTGGTACTACTATACTTCATTTAAATAGGGTAATACTACTTTTCCTATTTCTACACTTTTAACAATTATTAAAAATCAGATTTCTAAAGAAATTCAAAGTTTTCACAAAATGTATAAAACAAATAGAAAAAAACTTTATGTAAATACTTAAAATATTCCTTATAAATTACTATTTAATTGTAAATAAAGAGTACCAACTGTGCCTCTAGCTTTATAAAGCTTGAGTAATAAAAAAAAAAAAAAAAAAAAAAATAATAATAATAAAATAAAATAATAAGATAAAATAATTGAAACTCATTTTATAACAGTAATAAATAAAATAGATTGTTTTAATTTTAGATTATATCTGATTTTATAATTATATATAAATAGTATAGCATAGCAAATATTCAATTTTATTGGCTTATAAAACCCTAAATCATATAATATAAAAAAATTTTAAAGTAAACTTTATTATAAAAAGTTATTTCATTAATTAGCAACTTTTGGTTTTACAAAATTAAAATGTTTTATAAGCTTCTTTTACTCTCAAGATATCTATTGAGTGAGAGTAATCTCTATTGATCTCTATTATTAAAAACTTTGTTTAAAAAAAAACTTTTAACAAAGCAAGTATAGTAGTACTATAAGTATATACAAGTTAAAATTAAGTTTGTTGAGTAAAAATAAAAATAGAATAAAGTTAAAAGTAATAATTTAGAAAGAAATAAGTATACATTATTGGATAGACGACAAAAAATAACAGGCAATTTTTTTTTGTTAGAGTTAAGTCACTCCATGTGCTACGTAGTAGCACATAAGTGAAATTAACTTTAATAAAAAAAAAAATTTGCCTATTATTTGTCGTAAGTATGTTCAATAATGATGTTATTAGATAGTTAATATAACTATGTGAAGTTTTTTCTATGATATTTTGCAAAACTGTTTATATAATTTTATGCAAAAAATATCATAGCAAAAAAATTCATATCATCATATAAAATATCGAATAATACTATAATATAAGTGTAATATATAACTTAAAATCTTAGTTTATTGAAATAATATTTATTATACAGGATGTTGTAAAAATTCTAGAACAATCAGCTAATTATATTTATTTTATTTTTTTTAAGATATAATTAAAGATTTATATATATATAACTATATACTGTTTTAGGTCTGGCGATCTTAGTGTAGTGGTTAGGTTGCTAGACACCATGCAAGAGGTCTGGGGTTCAAATCCTACTGTCAACGAATTTGAATAATTACCTAGACCTTTGTACCTAAGTTTCAGTAAACTCTGTTCGTTTCTAGGGTTGTAACTCTGTAAGTTAAGTTATACCAAGTCAATCAGACATTGGAGTGTAGCGGCAGTTAATCATAGGATGATATGCGTACACAAATAAATTTTAATAGGAAAAAACATTAGTGTAATGGCAGTTAATCACAGGATGATATACGCACACAAATAATATATAGGCAGGAGACCTGCATGGTGGAAATTCTGAGTTGGTGAAGTAGTACAGCTTTCAACAGTCACACTAGCTAATACTTGATTCAGAAAGGAAACTATTATCAAAGATGCAGATCGAGTCAGGTGCGCATCAATCTGTTTTACGGGGAGGATTGGTAACACCAACCTGGCTTGGCAGCTAACTGAATTGGGAGGATCTGCTTCATGAAACATCTGAGAAGATAGACACAGAAAACTGGTAGAGAGCCATGGAAGAAACTGGGGTTGTACGAATATCTACAAGAGTCTAAGCTAGATGAGTCTGTGAAATGGGCACAGGCTGCTCTAGTAGGTTTGCTTTGAGGTTAACCGAAGCTCTGCATACTCACAATATGATGAGCAATATGCATCCTGAGAAGACCTAAGCTGATGTTGAAAAATGGATCTGTAATGAGCTAGCTAGCATATGCGGTTAGGTATTACAGTGATGTTAGTTTGTAACAGGAATAGGTTAGTTGAACAGAGTGTTTAAATAGGTAACTTACAGGCGAGTTGCAGGTATAGCAGCATAGTGTAGTACTAACAGGTGGTCTAACATCTGCATAGCAGACTATTTAAATTAGACAATGACTAAAGTTGTACGTGTAGCTTGTTGTACACTCTTCATATAACTGAAAACTGTAGAGGAACTCCATGTGGGACCTCATATATCAAATTAATAAAAATCACTTGGTAATGTAAGCCACTTTAAAAATAAAAAAAAAAAAAAATAACTATATACTGTTTTATTATAATTTAAACTATAAGGTTTTTTTTTATAAATTAATAAATAAAATAAATATAGTCATTTTATTTAAATATTTCTAATTAATATTATACAATATAGAGGCAATTAGAAAAAAATTCAGGGTTTTTTAAAAAAAAACCAAAGTCATTTCAAATATGAGTATGACAAGCTTAGATTCAAGAAACGGAAATAAGGTAAATAGTCAAATAAGTTATCTAAAGGAAAGCTATCTACTAAGCTCTAAAAAGATAGCAAGTCTTAAAGTATTACTTAAGAAAGAAGATCTCTAAAAACTAACAAGTATACTAGAAAAAATAGAAAGATACTATAAACAAATAGATAAATATATTTCAAGAATCACAGAAATAAGTATTAAAATTATTATAGTGACTAGAAATTGGTAAAGAATCATAAAAAAAATTATTATAGAAGAAGGTAAAGAGGTATTAGATTATGCTCTTAATAAGCTAGAGCAAGAGCTAGTATTAGTAGAAGAAGCTAAAAGAAGTTTAGTACAACTGAAAAATAGTACTAACTTAGTTAACGAAGTAGACTAGAATAACAAATATAACAAACAAGAAAATAATATAATACTAATGAATGAGCTTGAAGTATAGTTAGCAAGTACTTATACAGTAGCATCTATACCTTCTAAAACAAAGAATCTAGAATACAATATAGAGGCAATAGTCACCCAAAAGGTAGAGTATCTAAAAAGAAAGCTCACAAATAGTAACAAAACAGCAGTTGAAATCCTGTTTATGAATAAGTAGTCAGAAGATACACAAGAAGCTTTAAGAGAGCAAGAATAAGGCAGCTCTGAAAACTAATTAGTACTTTATCTAGAAAATAGTATAACTAGTACAGTGACTACAGAGAAAGAGCTAATAGATTTAGTATAATGAACTGAAGACCTAATACTAGAGAATACAGAAGATGCTTCACTTAGAACTTCACAAATAGAAATTAACAACTCAAAAGAATATTAAAAAAAGCAAATAGAGTAGCAGTTGCAAACTACAAGAAACTACATAGAACCTTACTAGAGGATAGTGTATAAACATCTAATAAAGACTCTTGTAAAAGAACAGAAGATTACAAAGCAAAAATTGCTTCTATCTTATTATCTGGTAAAACAAAAGAAGAACATATCAAGTTCATAAAAGGAACACTATACAAGAGTAACCACATAAGTAAAATTGTAGAGTGTTTTGAAAATAGAAATAGTTGAGTAGTTATCAAATTTAACTGTTTCAAGAGTATAGAAATTCTGAAAAAGAAACTTAGAAAGAAAAAGATCGAATGATACAAAATACTCTTTGATGAGTATATTACTTAGAAAAAAGTCAATTATGTTCTTATTAATATGAATAAAATCAATTCAGCTAAGCTTAAAGAAAAGAGCCCTATTTGAGAATCTAAATACGACTTAGGTACTAATGAAAGGAAAAAAAACCAATTAAAGAAAATACATAAAACAGAAAGAAAAAATCTCCTAAAACTAAGTACTATAATAATCTGAAGCTTGTCAAACTGGACGAAAAGAGTACATATTGTTACGAGCAGTTCTTTATTAATCTGCAAATTTTTAGGTAGTAGAAGGTTTTTCACAGTTATTATTCAAGGCATCAGTTTATTTATCAGTAAACAAACAAAACTAAAATCAATAAAATCAAAAATAAAAGAAAAGAAAACATTATTTCCAATAACAAAAACTAAAAAAACTAAAAATAATAAAGAAAAATTATAAAGAAATGAAGTGCAAGAGTTTGCCTAAAAGAAGACTAAAGATATTAAAATATTGTTTATTGTTAAGAACTAGAGAGCAGTTATTATTTAGAGAAGTTATTATTAT